ACAAAAACAAAGGTTAGTTGCAGTCTGGTGGGTGGACATGCAGTTGCAGCTGGATGTGACAATTGCAATCGCATGTCTAACATACAATTGCAACTGCACCATCTCCCGCCTCCATTTCACAAAACAAACTCCAGTTACATCCGTGTTAGGAGACATATAGTTGCAATTGATGGGCTACACTTGCAGTTGCATGCCTAGTGTCAAACATGCAATTGCCACCCTCTCCTGCCCCCATCAGACAAAAAAGTCCAATTGTGTTTGTGTTAGGGGGACATGCAGTTGTAGTCGAGGGCTACACTTGCAGTTGCATGCCTAGTGTCAGACATGCTACTGCCCCCTTTCCTATCTCCATTTGACAAAACAAAGGTTAGTTGCGGGTATAATGGAAAACATGCAATTGCAGTCAGGGGCGACAGTTGCAGTTGCATGCAAAGTGTATGCATGCAACTGCCACCACCACTCTCCCACTGTCCTCCGACAAAACAAAGTTCAGTTGCGGTCGTGATGGAAGATATGCAACTGCAGTTGGGGCGCGACACTTGCAGTTGCATGCATAATGTACACATGCAATTGTCCCCCCTTCTCCCACTGCCATCCAACAAAACAAAGTTTAGTTGCGGTCGTGATGGAAAATATGCAATTACAGTCGGGGCGCGACACTTGCAGTTGCGTGCATAATGTACACATGCAATTGCCCCTCCCTCTCCCATAGCCCTCCAATAAAACAAAGTTTAGTTGCAATCGTGCTGGAAGACATGCAGTTACAACCAGGGCTCACACTTGCAGTTGCATGCCTAGTGTACACATGCAACTTCAATTGCGGTCAGGGTGCTACACTTGCAGTTGCATACCTAGTGTACACATGCAACTGGTCCCCCTTTCCCGCCGCCCATAGACAAAACAAAGCCCAGTTCCAGTCGGAGGTGACACATGCAGTTGCATGGCTATTGGAAGATATGCAACTACCCTCCCCCGCAAAAAAACACTAAGTTGAAGTCGCCTTGAAGACATGCAATTGCATTCGAGGGCGACATTTGCAGTTTGTGCCTAGTGGCAGACATGCAAGCCCTCCTCCACACACACAAAATAGCAAGACATGCAGTTGCAGTTGGTGACGACACTTGCAGTTGCACACCTAGTGACAGACATGCAACTCCCCATTCCCAATCACCCAACAAAACAACAGAAATTATAGTCAAAGCGGATACTCGCAGTTCCGCACCTAGTGATAGACATGCAACTTCCCCCTTGACAAAAACACCACTAGGCACTAGGTTGCAGTCGCGCGGGGTAGATATCACATTCTCTCCCCCACCCCGCCTTGACCCTTTGGCTCTAAGACAAACCACATCCGGAGGAAGAGAGGAAAAAGATGAAGGAGTACCATGATCCACTACTTCCACACTTCTTCCGCACTTAAAACTTGGTTAGCAATGCTTTAGTCAACAAGAACAATTACAATTATAACTTTAAAAGAAATAAAAAGAGGGAGAATAAAATGATGCAGAAGACAGACAAAAATGAAAATGCATTATTACTGAAACAAAAGGGTAATGCATAATAAATAACAGTAAAAATATATTATTGATTTCCTAAAAAGAGAGGGAAAAGAAAACAAACGACATAATCTAAAAACCAGGAAAAAGCATTAAAATCAAAATAGAAATGTAAGACAAGAAAAACAAAAAAGAATACAAAAAAGCAATACCAATTTCAAACGCTTCAGAAAAAACTGACCACTCATATAGGAGCAAAAGGCATGTGTGCATCCCTCGCAATTACAGGGCCGCAATAGAAAAGAAGGACAGAAGAGCATAGGTCAGGCCTGGCATATTGATCACTCGCCCACAGAAAAAAGGGTATCATCCATTGTGTACGGCACGTCCGCGCGTCAACGTCAACAAACAGAAAAAATGATACACTGTACGAATCTTTGCGTCAAGATCTTATGACTACCGAGTACCGAACGACTAAGACTTGACAAATCCTCATTCGATTGAGAATTAGCAAATCCCGAAAAAAGAAAGCTAGCAAGAATCACACTGTTAGAAAAGGAAAAAAAAGTTTTAAAAGATAAAAGGCAAACAGAAAAATAGAAAAGAAACAACAAAAAATGTGAAAATAAAATTCAACTTTTTTAGGAATAAAAAAACATCTCGTGCCATATGGAACAGAAATGGCAAGAAGGAAAAAAAGGAAAAAAAAAGCCCACAAGCCGAACACAGGTTTAAAAAGTGAGATCCACTAGACAAGAAAAAACGAAGAAGCAGAGACCAACACGTACTTTTTAGTTTGAGAGAAGACCAACTCGTACCTAAGGCCCAGAGTGAAGAAAAAGAAAGAAAGAACAAGGCCCAGGTAGAAACGGCAATACGGGTGCCAGCGACCTGTACTTGAATATATACGTACAAAAGACAAAAGTTCCAGCGGGAATCTTAGCACAAAATCTGACGATGGAAGACTCGACTGAGACTTCGTTAAAAATAAGTCGACTGAGTTTTAGCGCCTCCGTAAGTTTATATGTCATTCATTGGATTGAATGACGAATCGGCTGATAAATTGTGTTTTATCTTAAGGTTGCAGAGACTATTTCAGGAGATCCGTCTTCTTGATGGGAGAGTTCGGAGGGAATGACTACACCTTCATCATGGCCGCCGGGAAAACCTTGGACCAGGTCGCGTCATTCGTGCCGGAAATCGTACAATCCATCTCAGCAGGCGTTGAGGTATATATAGTACTACTATATAGTTCCTCCGTACGGAATTAGTTAACGCTCAATCAGATGTATCAAACATAATCCCAGATGGAGGGAGCTAGTATATATTTAGCACGTGACAAATATTAATTACCAAAGTTTTTTCTTCCGGGCCAGAAGAGAGTACTTTCTCCGACCGAAAAAGCTTGTCCCTTCAATGGATGTATCTAGCACCAGGTGCTAGATACATCCATTTGAGGGATCATCTTGGGACAAGTTTTTTCGGACGAAAGGATTATTAATTAACATGTTGCTTGATTTAATTTTCTCGCCCAAGCTAATCAATAAGGAGATGTTTTTCCTTTGTTGTTGGGTTTTGCAGCAACTAGTCAAGGAGGGAGGGAGGTACGTGGTGGTGCCGGGGCAGCCGCCAATGGGGTGCATTCCCATCGTCCTAACCTTGTACGCCAGCCCGAACAAGAAGCACTACGACCCCGGGACCGGGTGCCTGAGGAAATACAACGCCCTCGCGCGCTACCACAATAGAGTGTTGGTGGAAGCCGTCTATCGTCTCCGGATCAAGTACCCCGCCACCAAGATCGTCTACGCCCACTACTACACGCCGGTGATGGAGTTTCTCAGGGAACCCATAAGATTCGGTAAGCTCCAAAAGATGGTAAGCTCCACAATTTTTAGCACTTGCTAACTCGTAGTACGTTGCAGGGTTCAGTGCCTCGTCGAGGCTCCGAGTGTGCTGTGGCGCGGGCGGGCCGTACAACTACAACCTGACGGCGGCGTGGGTTGCCCGGCGCGAGCGCATGCGCTAACCCCGCCACACACATCAACTGGGACGGCATCCACCTGAGGCCTTGTTCGGTTGAGGTGGTTTGTGAGGGGGATTGGCAGGGATTGAGGGGGATTAGATCCCCTACAAGCCAAATTCCTCTCCAATCCACTCCAATCCCCTTGGGAGGAGGATTAAACGAACAAGGCCTGACGGAGTTTGTATGCAGGCTCATCGCCACCGGTTGGCTCTGGGGCCCTTACGCGCACCCGCCTATTCTCAAGGCCGTGCCAGGATCTCTGGAGCTCATGACATCTTCAATCTCAGAAATCAACCCGTTCAGTTACGCTAGCTCCTGAGTAGTTCTACCTAGCTGCAACGGAAGGCGCAAGTCTCTTGAAGCTCTATCCTACGGCTGCAACCTTTCGTTCTGCATGCGTGCTAGTACTACTCCTTCAATAACTCCACACTTATAGCTAAAGTGTGCTTAATGTAATAATTAGAGTGAATTCCACTTTTTACCCCATATTTATACATTTGTGACACTAATTACCCCTTCGAGTGAAAATTCGTCTAGAATACCCCTTTTAAAATCTTTGGACCCTCGTTTTTTGATGCGTGTCCATCAGGTAAGGTGTGAGGTGACGCCCTGTATCCAAAAACATGTGGACGGCCACAAGGAGTGGAACAGATAGACAAGAGAAGCTTGGACAAGATCGCTAATGATGCCCTCCGATCCTTACAGTTTTTTTACGAATCAATGACGCAACATGCCGATCCTATCGACCATAAACAAACAAAATGTAAAACTGGGGTAAAACCGTGTTAAAAGTCTCCAAAATCTGACATTTCGATAAAAGTTCCACTAAATAGGGTAATATGTGTCACAAATGTACAATTACAAGGTAAAAAATGGAATTCACTCTAATAATTATGTGACATTGGCATAATCACGGCTCACGGCGGTATAAATTGAAGCAGCATAGTACTCAAAATTCATGGCTGATGTTTCCCTTCCTTTGCGCGTGGCGGCTATTTTTACCGTAGAACATAGATATAGTTCAATACCAGTGTTTTTTTCTCGCCCAAAATTTTCGGAAACCAGTCAAAAACTGGCTTTTCCGCTACCCATTGAAAAAAATCGATACCGAACAAACTTTTTGAAAAATTTAATTTGAACTGTGCAAACTGTGATATAACGTGTCTATGCTACCATTCGCATGGAACCTCAAGAAATATAGGTGGCCAAGAGATTGGATCCCGAGACCAAATTAAGGGGTGTGCGGTGCAATGACCACCGCACTAGATACTAATTTGTAAACAGGTTATATTTTAACATTGTTTGATTTGAATTCAAAATTTGTTTGAATAATTCGGGCAAAAAATGTCAAAATTCCTAAGATTTTTCGGAAACCGGTTATTTCTGCCCCTACCAAAAATAAAGCGGTCACGAGAAAAAAAACTTAATCCCTACTAATAAAGCCCTCCGATTCGCAAAGGAAAAAACCTAAAGGAAACCCTTGTTCACGTAGGCCAACTTACAGGGTGGCCCATGTCCCCGGATGGTGGTGGAGCAGCTCCAACTGAATATACCAAGGTCATTGAAATAGGCAAACACGATGGTGGTGGAGCAACTCCAACTGAAGATACCAAGGTCATTGAAATAGGCAAACATGAGCTCGTGACTCGTAAGGATCTCATTGAACTTCGTTTATCATCAAATAGTCGTAACAAATTTGGTTTGCTTTGGTTTTTGGTTTCGTTTCCTTGTGAGATAAATATCTATCCATCCACGTTTTTCCCAACCGGGCCCATGTCCCCGGGTGGTGGTGGAGCAGCTCCAACCGAATATACAAAAGTCATTGAAATAGGCAAACACAAGGTGGTGACTCCTGAGGATCTCATCGAACTTCGGTTACCGTGAAATGGTCGTAACAAATTTGGTCCAAATTTGGTTTTCTTTGGTTTTTGTCTTCGTTTCCTTGTGATGTAATATCTATCCATCCACATGTTACCGAACCCACCCCGCAACGAAGCACCTGTCTTTCTTTTTGTGGCGATTAAAGAGGTGAAGATGCAATGAGAAGGACCAATAAGGACAGAACATCGTGATCTATGGTGGACACATTTTCTCATAACCAAACGTTCACAAACTAACCAACCAGGGACCCAGAATACATGTGAAAACTTTTGGACGAGGCAACATGATCTAAGCTGGATATATTTGCAAATGATCAACAAACTAAATGTTCACAAACTAATCAACCAGGGACCCGTGCTTTGAAGCTAGAAAACTTAATTAGGTTCATCTACATATCATGTATATACTATAAAGACATCAGTAAATGCTCTAGTCAAGCAATCAGACTCATATTGCCATCAGGTACATATCCTCTAATTGAAGAGTTTGATATAGTCAATGCAAGCTTCTCTAAGCTTGGTGCAATGATACTGGTCAGCTAGAGCCAATGTGGCGACGACGCTCTTGGCATCGAGGCTCTTGCACAGGATGCTCTCACACATGAGCTTCATCCTTCCCATGGCATACCTGTCTGCAGCCACAAGCAAGTGCCTAATCACCTTGTTGTTGTCATCATCCATGGCAGGCAACGAATCTGTATATATGAAGTGAAGCAGTGCTCTGAATACATCAGGCTCCATGTCGGCGATCTGTAGACACTGTTTCTCCTCGTCCCACATTGGCCCGTATAGTTCTGTGTCGAAGACCGGTGACCGCATCGCCAGCACGATCTTGTGCGCATAGAAGGTCTCCCTGCGGACTTTGATCACCACGTCCGCTCCTTTCTTCCCCTCCAGCAGCTTTGCGAGATTGTTGGACAGGTCGGACGGCGGCACCGGGATCTCCGGCGGCGTCTTGGCGTTGGGGGTGGCCACGGCCGGTATTTTGTTGAGGAGGACGGTTATGTCGCAGTGGATGATGAGGCAGTCGTCGTGCAGGTACGGGGATGCCTCCAGGAGGTCCCTCTTCATGAAGTTGTAGGAACCCTTGACATGCCTGCTCCACGTGCTGCTGAATGCCGGAAGGGGCGACGGCCGGGAGACGATCAAGGATGGCGTCCGGTGGCCTGGTTGGTGAGCTTGAGGTCGTACAGCGCCCTCACCACGGATTTCTTGCTCTGGAGCTCGACGTAGACCGCAACATAGCGCTTGGTGTCAGAAGTGTATCTGTCGGGGTAGTAGCGGATGCACCAGTCGTAGCCGCCCACGGTGAAGGTGGAGGACCTTATGAAATTGCCGGCGCCAAGGCCCTTGTGCAGCCTGTAGCCGGCGACCGTGAACACGTGCGTGCCCCGCGCCGTCTCCGGGATGCACGCAGACGCGGTAGCCGTCGCCATACTCGGCCTCTGCAGCGCTGCCATTGCTGCCGGTGCTTGTGCGTACTGCGCAGGCCCGACCAAGCTTGCCGATGCGACGCCTACGGGCTAACTTGATTGCTTTCCGAGTACGTACGTACCTTCCTGCAGGTGTTCGCTTTCAATCAACTTAATTGTCGTTTATTTACAAGGGGGTGTACGTCGTGCATATATAGTGGCTAGGCTGGCTAGTCCCGGACCGAATCGGTGAGTCAAATACTAATCCTACCAGGTGATTAATTCCTGCACTACTCGGACACGGACGTGTTCAAACCCTACCCACACATATGCTCCGCTTTGAGTTCACCTCTTAAGATCATGATGTTCCTGAGTCATCCTACGCTCGTAGCAGAAAACCCTCCGTCATAATGTTTCTTTATGTTTACTACTCCTTGAATTAAAAGCACGAATCGGAGGGTACATCATTGCAGCATTTTCCTGATGGTGTGTCAAATACATGCAAAAGTCGTCACGTGGCACAAGCACAACAGTACAGTTGAGTTTCTATTGGAGTCGAAAAGATTTCAACTCCTGCGCGTGTTATCTATATCTATATCTATATCTAATAATAAAGGATGGAAGATTTTATAGTTCTCCATCCGTCATCTTTTTTATATCCGTTGATTTTATGTTAATCATAAAAATTGACGGTTGAGATTTAAAAGTAGACCTATGTAACTTATAGTCCGGGCCGGTTTGTACGTCCTATGTCGTCCATCATCTGGTTGGATTTGTTTCTGTTTGTTGCTCCTGCCGTTTTCATCTCATCAAAAACTGGATACACAATCTAATACAGTCCAGGTCATATGCCATTGGAATAGTTTGATATGTATGGAGGTCAAATCTACACGTAGCGCTAGTCTCTCGTCCACCTTCCGAGGTCAACTCGCCGTCCAACCATTGCGAGGGTTCGGAGGGATCGACTACATATACTCCTTCCGTCCGTGTCAAATGCCACAATTGCCCTGCTGCCTGCCTAGCTAGCTCATCCAACATCTCTGATCCACCATCTAGAAGCTTCTGGAAGGATATGTTCTTTTACGCCATGGGAAACAGCGTCTCCCCGTGCGAGACCATGTCAGCAACGGCCGAGTCTCCCGCGATGGCCAGGCTGGTGTAATGGGGCAGGCGGACGAGAGGGCAACGACAAGGACGATGATGACGACGTCGTCTTCAGGCCGCGTTGCTCTCAGCGGACCACGTGCTCTGCCCGCCCGACTTCTTCTTCGCCGGCCTCCCGGTCCCTTCGGGCCACCGGGGGAGCAGCTGCTGCCGGGCCGGGCCTACTTCGTGCTCCCCGGGTGCCTCCTCTCCGACTAGAGGGAGACGGCGGAAGCAGCGGCGGCGCGGGGATACGCCGGGGAAGCACCTGAACGGTTGCCGGAACAAATGGGGTGGCGTGTGCGGCGGCGGCGCCAGCGGCTGGATGGGGGTAGGTGAAAGTTGCGAGCGGGCACTCGAGTGTCCAGTGCGCGGGAGCCGGCGCAGCAAATAAACGGCGCGCAATGGCATTTCGGCCCGCGCGCTGAACTAGTTATGCCGCGCGTGCAGTTTTTGCGCCTCCGTTGGAGCGCCGGGAGTGATAGCGCGCGCGCAAAAACCACTAATTTTTCAACACGGCGCTTATATAGCGCGTCTGTTGGAGATGCTCTTACAAATGTATAGAGAA